GCCCCCTTATAGGAGCTCCACCGAAGGACCCAGTGGCAGGGTTCGCTCGGGCCATTTCGGCACACCCTTCACAAGGGTCGTGTCCCCATGGGGAGCTCCACCGACGGCCCCAGTGACAGGGTTCGCATGGCGGCCTCGGGCCACTTCGGCACACCCCTTTCGAGGGCCGTGGCCGCATAGGGGGCTCCACCGAAGGCCCCAGTGGCAGGGTTCGCATGGCGGCCTCGGGCCATTTCGGCACACCCGCCACGGGGATCGATGCCCCATAGGGGGCCCCACCGAAGGCCTCAGTGGCAGGGTTCGCATGGCGGCCTCGGGCCATTTCGGCGCACCCCTCACTAGGACCGTGGCCCCATATGGAGCTCCACCGAAGGCCGCAGTGGCAGGGTTGACATGGCGGCTCGTGCCATTTCGGCACACCCCTCACGGGGATCGTGGCCATGTGGGGAGCTCCACCGAAGGCCCCAGTGGCAGGGTTCGCATGGCGGCCTCGGGCCATTTCGGCACACCCCTCACGCGGATCGTGGCCCCATAGGGGGCTCCACCGAAGGCCCCAGTGGCAGGGTTAGCATGGCGGCCTCGGGCCATTGCGACACACCCCTCACGAGGACCGTGGCCCCATAGGGAGCTCCACCGAAGGCCCCAGTGGCAGGGTTCGCATGACGGCCTCGGGCCATTTCGGCACACCCCTCACAGGGATCGTGGCCCTGTGGGGAGCTCCACCGAAGGCCCCAGTGGCAGGGTTCGCATGGCGGCCTCTTGCCATTTCGGCACACCCGCCACGAGGATCGTGGCCCTGTGGGGAGCTCCACCGATGGCCCCAGTGGCAGGGTTCGCATGGCGGCCTCGAGAAATTTCGGCACACCCCTCACGCGGATCGTGGCCCTGCGGGGGGCTCCACCGAAGGCCCCAGTGGCAGGCTTCGCATGGCGGCCTCGGGCCATTTCGGCACACCACTCACGAGGATCGTGGCCCTGTGGGGAGCTCCACCGAAGGCCCCAGTGGCAGGGTTAGCATGGCGGCCTCGGGCCATTTCGGAGCACCCCTCACGAGGACCGTGGCCCCATAGGGAGCTCCACCGAAGGCCCCAGTGGCAGGGTTGGCATGGCGGCCTCGGGCCATTTCGGCACACCCCTCACGAGGATCGTGGCCCCATAGGTAGCTCCACCGAAGGCCCCAGTGGCAGGGTTAGCATGGCGGCCTCGGGCCATTTCGGCACACCCCTCACACGGTTCATAGCATCATAGGGAGCTCCACCGAAAGCGGTACCCACCACGCGGTGCCCACCACGCGGCCCTTCGTCCATGGACGACGGCGAGGGCCGAACCCAATCCTCAACAATATGAAGGGTCACGGTGAAAGTGACCTTCTTCCAGATCCTGCCCTCGGTGCCACGAGTGGAAATGCCAGCGCGTACATCGTGAGAAGGGCATCCTTCAACCACGCGTGGTTGAAGGATGCCTTTCTCGCGATGCACCAGGCCACCTTGAGGGCCGTCTTGGATCATCAGGGGCCATCTTGGGAACCGCTCGGGGCCAATCCTGTTGGTTTCGTGGCCATCCCCCCGTCGCTCCCCCATGGGCCCCAATCGGGGCCTGTCGCCCGTGACGCCCCAGAGCGTTTGGCGTCGGGCGCGGCCCGGTCGAGCGCCCACTGGGGGGAGTGACGCCGAGGCCCTGGGGAGGGGCCTGCTCGGAGCCCGAGCCTTCTCCGCGCCCCCCCCCCCGATGCCGTTTTGGCATTGGATCGAACGGCGCCCTTTACTGCGTGAGGGCGCGAGCGGCATCCTGCGACGCGCGATCCGCGCGATGATGGACGCCACGTACGCTGCCGACACATACAACTACAACGGCACGTGGGCCGATGCAACGTTGGCGACCTTCCTGTTCGAAGCTGAGTGCTACCCAGCCGCCCTCGATGCATGCATGAGGCTGCGTCTCGACCCGCGCGCCGTCTGGGACGACTTCGGCCACTTCGCTGTCATGGCGTCAGAGTGCGGGATCGAGCCGTCCGAGCAGGCCCGCGCCCACTACTGCTGGATCTTCGCCGACATCGATGCGAGCATGAAGCAGCTGCCAGCGGCCGCAACAAGCCCGACGGCGTCTCCGACGACAAGTACGACGGCATCCCCGACGGCAACTCCGACAGCAAGCCCGACGGCATCTCCGACGGCCAGCCCCGCGCACCAGCAGGACCTTCGGCCGCGCCCTCGTCCCCAACACGGTTGTTCAGCGTACCAGCAAGACCTTCGGCCGCGCCCTCGTCCTCCGCACCGCGCACAGGGCAGCGCCGACAGGGCAGCGGCTGGTTTCGCGAGGGGGCGGGCAACCCAAGGGGGCCTCGCTGGGGCGGTAGGGGCGGGACGACGTCTGCCAACGTGCAGTGGCATTCGGGTCTGCACAAGGCTCGGCGAGAGGACTGGGAAGCCGAGTACAGGAGGCTTTACACGAAGCCGCCCAGTGCGGCTCAGAAGTAGACGTTACTTGTACTTCAATTAGACTTCGGTGCTGCTTCAGCACTGGCTGCACCAAATACAAAAACATAGCCTGACAAATGACCCGACCATATGCAGGTGTGAATGCCGCAATTGTGATGCCATCTTCGCCCGTGCTCCCTATGGGGCCACGAAGCGTGTGAGGGGTGTGCCAACATGGGGCGCGTGCCGCATGCGGGCTGCGCCACTGGGATCTTGGGTGGAGCTCCCTATGGGGCCACGAAACGTGTGGTGTGTGTGTGTGTGCCAAAATTGGGCGCGTACCGCATGCGGGCTGCGCCACTGGGGCCTAAGGTGGAGCCTCCTATGGGGCCACGAAGCGTGTAAGGGGTGTGCCAAACTTGGGCGCGTACCGCATGCGGGCGGCGCCACTGGAGCCTACGCTGGAGCTCCGTATGGGGCCACAAAACGTGTGAGGGGTGTGCCAAAATCGGGCGCGTACCGCATGCGGGCGGCGCCACTGGGACCATAGGTGGAGCTCCCTATGGGGCCACGAAACGCGTGAGGGGTGTGCCAAAATTGGGCGCGTACCGCATGCGGGCTGCGCCACTGGGACCATACGTGGAGCTCCCTATGGGGCCACGAAACGCGTGAGGGGTGTGCCAAAATTGGGCGCGTACCGCATGCGGGCTGCGCCACTGGGGCCTAAGGTGGAGTTCCGTACGGGGCCGCGAAGAGTGTGAGAGGTGTGCCACAATCGGGCGCGTACCGCATGCGGGCTGCGTCGCTGCGGCCTAAGGTGGAGCTCCCTATGGGGCCACGAAGCGTGTGAGGGGTGTGCCAAAATGGGGCGCGTACCGCATGCGGGCTGCGCCACTGGGGCCATAGGTGGAGCTCCCGAGCTCCGTATGGGGCCACGAAACGCGTGAGAGGTGAAGATGATGGTGGGAGGAAGGAGGAGGGGAGAGAGGAGGAGGAAGGGGAGGAGAGGAGAGGAGGAGGAACGCGGGGCGCCGTCTCTTCAAAACGAGGTCCCAACACAGGATGGTTGGGAAATAGCCCTCGCATCCCCGTCCTCGTCGTCCTCGTCGTCCTTGTCGTCGTCGTCGTCGTTGTCCTCGGCGTCCTCGTCCTCGTCCTTGTCGTTGTCCCCGTCGTCGTCGTCGTCGTCGTCCTCGTCGGCCCCCATCCCCCCCCACCGCAAACTTCGCGGCTTCCCCGCTCCCGCGTTTTGTTTCAGCGGCTTCCCCGCTATGTTGTGTTTCAGCTGAGTTTATATTCCGCGAGGGTGTCATATTCGAAACTACGGATATTGCGATTGCGAGTTCAATTCGAAACGTGCGAATGTTCCGATTGTGAGGATGTCTCAAGCCATTCGTCCGAAGACGCCCTGCTCTGCTGCCACCCATTCCCCTGCTACCAGGCCAGGGGGAGGGAGGAGGGGGACGCGCAGGAGGCGAGGGGGATGTATAGGAGAAGAGGCAGGCAGACGACGACGACGACGACGACGACGACTCGACGACGACGACGGCAACGGTTGCACCGACCCCCAAACAGCGCTTGCACTGCAGGCCGGTCACTGTGGTTGGGTTTAGCAGGGCCGAGCTGCGGGCCGATATCGCACAGATCAAAGTGGCCCGATCACTCCCAGTCCTCGACGATCTCGTATGTGACCATCGATGGTCACATGCGAGATCGTCTGATCAGGCTGACCTTCTTAAGGCGCAAACCGACGGGCGGGTGGTCTGGCATGATCGGGCGCACCAGTTTCTCGAAGGTCGTGCGAAGCCCGATTCGTGTACGAAAGAGCTGTAGCAGATGTTCGACTGCATCGATGCAGTCGAACATCTGCTACAGCTTTTTCGTCCGCTTCTCGGGCGCAGGCTTTTCGATCGGCTCATCGGTCGGGTCGAGCAGCGCACTCGATTGGCTCCTCCATCGGCTTCTCGATCGGCCTCTGCCACTGCTAGCGGCCGATCGCGCGGGCTCCTCCATGGTCGCCCGCTCAGGCTCCATGGCCATGCAACCGAGTGGGATTCGGCACAGCAAATTAGAAAGCGAGCGCTCGTGAGTCAAAGACATGCGGAGGAGGACGAGGGAGAATCTGATACTCAGTATGATTGGGGTGGTGGCGATGTGGATGATGAGAAGGATGGTGAGGATGTTGGTGGGGATGATGACGATGACGACGATGATGGTGCGCTGCTATGGCGAAGCGGAACATATTGCGCGCATGGGGCGGCATCGCCGCATCGCCAGGTGTGACAGGGGATGCTTGCATTGACTTATGAGGAGGGGGCATGTGACGGAAGGGTGTATAGCAGCATCGCTGATGCATCCTGGGTTCTCTCTGGTCGTTGGCCCTCCTCCCCGCCCCCCTATCCGTCTCGTCCTCCTTCCCCATCCGCACCTTCTCCCCCCCGCCCCTCTCCCGACCCCATCCTCATCGCCCTCCCCCCCATAGCGGTGCCACCGCTGCAGCGGCTTTTCCGCTGGCCCAAGAGCAGCGACCATGCCGCAGACACTGACGGCGCGCATTGGCGCTGTGTGACTTCTCCTGCAGGACATGACTGGCTCGCCTCGCCACCAGTCCATATCGCAGGTGCAGGCGAAGGCCTTGGAGACCCTGGTTGCGAGGGAGTAAGCAGGTCTTTCTGACGACCAGAAGGCGAGTGCAGCGGCCCTCGTCTCCCAGGTGAACTGGTACGGCCACCGCGACCTGAACGTCTTGCAGGCCCTGGCGTCCAGTGCACATGGGCCGATGGGCCCCGCGCGGCAGCGCGCGAAAAGCCATAACTTCTTGGCCCTGGTGAGCCACGTCACAGCGGCAGGATGGGACCGCCTGCTCGAGGAAGGGGTTCCACCGAGCGCAGTTCAGAGCATGCTGGTGCAGCGCATCATTCGCCTGGGGGGCGCGCATGCGGACGAGCATTCGCTGAAGCTTGCTAACTCGGCCTTCATGCTCGTCACCATGCCTGATCGGGTCGAGACCATGTCCTACTACGACAAGAAGAAGTACTACGACAACTTCAAGACGGCGTACCACCGCGTGGCGGAGAAGTCGCCGCGGCCCAGCGCCTATATGCTGGAGCTCCCGCAGACGCCTCAGGACCTCCTCGCGTCGCTCCCGACGGTCTACCATGCCGCGTTCTCGGCAAAGCCTGGGGGCGGCCCAGCCGCGTGCCCCCTGGACATGCGATTCCTTCGAGACTTGGAGGCATCCTATCGGTGCCGCGGTGCCGCGCCCGCCTGCTCGGGCCGCGCCAGCGGCGCGGCGTCGCAGGAGCTGGCCACCAGGGCGCCTCCGAACCAGATGGAGCAGTGCATGCAACAGCAGATGCAGATGCAGCAGATGACGCAGATGATGCAGATGGCTTTCGGCGCGGTGGCGGGAAGCATGCGAGGGGGCCAGAGCGCGGCGCCGACAGGGGGCGGCGATCTCTTGGACAACCTGACGGTGTTCGGCGCGGCTCGGCGGCCTGGTGGACACCCTGCTCTCGCCATGGAGGGTGCGGCTCGCGCGGGCTCGAGCGATGCGTTGACGAGCCTTCCACAGGCCGCGGCGCCGACCGCGGGATCGCAGCACGCTGGCCCGCCCAACGTGACATCGTCAGCAGAGGGGTCGCAGCAGATCGTGGCGTCGGCAGCGGCGCCCCCGACCCAGTCGCAGCCGATCGTGGCGTCGGCAGCGGCGCCCCCGACCCAGTCGCAGCCGGCCGTGGCGTCGGCGGCGGCGAGCGCGCCGCCAGCCGCTGAGCCAGCCGTCGAGCTCGCGCGGCCCTTGAGGATGGACATCAAGACACAGGTCGAGGAGGCCATGAGCATGATGCTTCATAAGAAGAATACGAAGCAGGCGAAGAAGCGCCCAGCGGCATGCCAGGCGGCCGACGAGCGCGAGCAGGAGAACGAGGACGGTGAGCAGGGGGAGGTGGAGGACCTGCGTTCGTCGCCGATGGCCAGAGGACGGCCAACGGCGAAGACGGCGGCGAAGCCGAAAGCCAAGCCCAAGGACGCGGCGACGACGACGCCCATGTCCAAGCCCAAGGTCCAGGCGCTCATTTCCGACATCGTTGTGCGGACGGGCTCGGACGGGAGCGTCAACAAGAACACGCTTGCATCGAGGATGTACTCCAGGGCCAAGAAGCGGGCAGCTGACGACGGCTACTCGCATGATGCATCGGTCGAGGTGGCGAAGAAGGCCTACGGCGCGGCAGCCGCGATGTGGGATGCCAAGTGCAGCTGATCGCGGGCGCGTTGAGCTGCGCGCCCAGCCTGCCTTTGCACTGGATAGGATCTGGGAGGGTGAGGAGGATGAGGGGGGCAAGGAGGAGGGTGAGGAGGAGGAGCAAGCACCGAGTCTAAGATGCACGCGAGCCCCGCACCGTCGGGGCTGTGTGCATCGCGCCCGGGCCTATGCATGCAGAGCCAGCCGCGTTCGGGGCGCAACATAATGCGTGTCCAATCAAAGAGCCCCCAGGAAAGCCCAGAGGATGAGGCGGTGGGTGGGTGGGGGGCTGTCGCCCGCGGGCGAACACTTGGGTGCCCTTTCCTGCCACATCGCCAGCATGATCATGTTAGCATCCCGTTATCAGCCTTGTTATCAGTGTTATCCCGCTCATTATCATTGTTATCAATGTTATCAGATAACACCGTGATAACGGTTATCAGATGTTGATAACGCGCGTGATAACGATGATAACATGTTATCACGCCGCTTGATAACGCTGATAACACGAAGTGCGAAACATTCGCGTTATCAGACATCCTTGATTACGGTTATCAGATGTTATCCGGTTGTTATCACAGCCCTTGATAACGCGCCTGATAACGGTGATAACGGCCATGATAACAGTGTGATATCGGGTTGGTAACGGCCCGGTACGTCCTTCTGGCATCCTCTTCCCTCCCATCTCCCCCTCCTCCGAATCATGTTCTTCCTCTCCTCCCCGGCGGTCTTCCGCTGGCTCGAGCGGCGCCTCCGCTTCGCCTGTTGCCACCTACGCGGGAGCGGCTCGCGCCCGCGCGCGGCGCGACGGGAGACCGAGATGGCCACTGCTAGCGATGCCGACGACACCGCGTGCGCGATTTGCCTGCAAGTGTTGCTGGACGGCACGGAGGTTCGGGCGCTCGGCTGCCTTCGCAAATACCACGCTTACTGCGTGGACATGCACCTCGGCGTCCACAACATGCAGTTCGACGGTCTCCCCTGCCCGCAACGTCGAACGACGGAGCGGGCCCTGGGGAGGGCGGAGGCGGCGCTGACAGGCAGCCCGCCCGACGCCGCCGACGACGCCGACGAGGTCGACACCATCATCACCGACATGGCGCCGCCCAGCAGCCCGCAGTTGCGGCGTGTGCCGCGGCCGCCCCAGGAGACGCAGGTTGTGCCCGCGGAGGCGGTGGACGGGGCGGGCTCGGTGCCACCGCCGAGCCCGGCGTCGCCGCCGAGGGCGGAGGCGACGCCCACGGCGGCGGCGAAGGCTGGGGCGCGGCCAAAGGCGAAGCCAAAGCCGAAGCCAAATGCGACGGCGAAGCCGAAGCCGAAGGCCAATCCCAAGGCGAGGGTGGCGGTCGTCTCCGTCTTGAGCATGATGGCGCCGCGGGGCGCCGACGACCCGCCCGACGCAGCGGGCGTCCCTCCCGAGGCGCCCGAGGACGCGCCGCCGCTTGATGGCGACGCCGCCGCCGAGGAGCCCCCGCCTGGGGCGCCTTTCCCAGAGTTGTCGCCGCAGCCGCCCGCCCAGATGCGCCCAGGGCCGACGATGATCGCGCGCCCCACGTTCATGCATGACGTTCGGTTGCGATGCGGGTGGTGCAACGAAGAGGTAACTGCAGACAGGGCTCGGTTGAGGGGCAAGTCGCAGCAGAAGTGCAGGTGCGACCGTTGCAATGCCCACATCACGCAGCTTAGCCGCGAGTTTGGCGAGTTCCCGAGCAGCGGCTTCAAGCGCTTGGGCGAGGAGACGCAGCAGGCCTTCATCAAGGACGTGCGCGACGTCTCCAGCGGGAAGATGGTAGTCGCCAAAGTCAAGGAGCCCATGCGGAGCTACGAGAATCACGAGGACTACTACGCCGAGGGAGGGGAGTTCCCCCCCCCCCCCCCTAGGCGCGTGGAGCACGCGCGGCTTCGATGCCGCGCTCATCGAGGCCAACAGCCTGGAGAAGGACAAGAGGCAGTGCAGGGTCTTGGGCGCAACGTACCGCGTCCCGATCCTGTCTGGAGGCCATCGTGGAGCCAGGGGCACCGAGCGGTCCCGCGTCGCCGAGGCCTCGCACCCCTCCAAGAAGATCAAGAAGACGACGGTCGCTGACGCCGACGAGGGGCCTGATGAGGGGCCTTCGGGCGACGACGACTCGGACTCCAGCTTGGACTCGAGCAGCAGCTCGGACGACAAGAAGAACAAGACAACGAAGAAGGCGAATAAGGCGAATAAACAGAAGAAGAAGGCAGCGACGAAGGAACGGGCGAGGAAGGAGAAGGATCGCAAGAAGGCGCTGAATGAGAAGGAGAGGGCCGAGCAGGAGAGGAAGGCCGCCGTCGAGAGCCGCAAGGTGGCGGCGGCGAATGGCAAGTTGGCCGACAGCATCGAGAAAAAGGTGACGGAGACGTTGACGGCCATCAACAGGGTGGTGGGCCATCGCTTGTTCCCTGAGTTCCGCCAGAGCATCAAGGATGACATGAGCGCGTTCCAGGCCAAGCTGCAGTGCATGTCGCAGGACATCGAGAAGGTCCAGAACGGTGTCGGCAGCTCCATCCGCTACGTGAGCACGACCGCCGAGGCCAAGGCCTCCGCGGCTACTGAAAGCCCCTTTGAGCCTATAGCGCACTTGGCAATCCTCCCCCATCCCTCCTCCTCCTCCGCCCTCCTCTTCCTCCTTATGGGCTCTCGTCGTCGCCGTCGTCGTGGTCGTGGTCGCGTTCGGCATCTTAGGGCTCTTCGGGATCTGAGGGCCCTTAGGGCTCACAGGGCTCCTAGGGCTCATCGGGCTCCGACGGATCACAGGGCCCCTGAGGCCTCTTCGGGCTTTTAGAGTTCCGTTTGCCATTAGGGCTCTCAGGGATCTTAGGGCTCCTAGGGCGCTTAGGAGCCTCGGGGCTCTTAGGGCCCCCAGGGCTATCAGAGCTCTCAGGGCTCTTATGGCCCTTAGGGCACCGAGGGCGCGCGGGGCTCTGAGGGCTCTTAGGGCTTTTATGGCTCGCGCGGCTTTTCTTGGAGCTCTTAGGGCCCCGATGACTCAATTGTATCATAGAGCTCTGTTGATTGCTCTTGGGGCATTTCGGGCTCTGAGGGCCTTGCGACTCTTCGGGCTATTGGGGCCCCTATGATCATTCGGGGCCCTCAGGGCTCTTGGCTCGCAGAGCCCATGGGGCTCTAAGGATTCTTTGGGCGCCCGAGGCTCTTTGTGCACTTGCGGCTCTCAGGGTTCCTATAGGTCTCTTATGGCACTTAGGGCCCTTGAGAGTCTCGGGGTTCCCAGGGCGCGTCGGGCTCTTAGGGCTCTTAGGGCTCTTAGACTCCCGGGCCCTCGGCCCTTGCGTGAGATTCCATGGCCCTGGGGACCATTGACACAGGTGCTACTTGTGCGTTGGGGGGACGGGCGGGAGCGAGCGAGGCGGCTTAAGCCAGGGTAGATACCCTGAAGTGCCCAAGACATCTCATCATGGCCCCTAGAGGGCCTCAGAGAGCGCAACGTGGTCTCCAAGACGCCCCACCTCTCGGGGCCACATGCGCGCCCTCTCGGGGCCTTCTGAGGGTCTGGGCCTCGTGCCTCCCGAGGCCTTCCTGACCGACATGGGCCGCAAGCTTCGCACGGCCCAGACCTTGTTTGATCTGAACGGCCGCTTCGGCGCGGCGTGAAGGTCAGCCTGATGGTCACGTGCGAGATGATCGTCGACGACTGAAGGGCCATCGGAGGTTGGGGTGTACGACTTCCTCAGGGCCTCGAGCTTTTTGTGCATCAGCATACCTTGCGTGACCCCGTCGAGGAGTAGTTCTTCGACCGAGGGCCGAGGTTGCCGTCGGAACAAGGGCAGGCGGCGCGCCGACCTCGCCTTCTCCCTCGTCGGAAACGGAGCGAGCGGCCCACATCCTCCTCGTCGCCCTCTCCATCCCCCCGTCGTCCTCCTCGTTGTCCTCCTCGTAGTCTTCCTCGTCGGCCACCGCGCCCCTCCGCCAACATTCCCGACGCTTCGCGCGCCCCCGCCAGCCCATCCAAAAACGACGCCCAGGCGAGCTGGTGAGGGAGGAGGGACAAGGCTGGCGAATAGGATGATGAGGAGGAGGAGGAGGAGGCTGAGGGGGAGGAGGAGGAGGAGAAGGGGGGAGAAGTTGGAGGAGCTACAACTGGCCTTTGACCAGCTGGGGTGCGGCTAGCGACGCTAACACCGCCGATGGCAGCCGCTCCAGGCGGCATGTCACCGCCCCCCGGGCATCGCTGTTTTTTTTTTTTGGGGGGGGGGTCCGAGGGCCGAGGGCGAGAGCGATGGGGCGGTGGCGCACTGTGCTGAAGCCCTCGCTGCGGATGCCCCTCGATGGGGAGGGTGGGGCGGCGGTGGGCGGGCGCTCCTGGGGCCATGCTGGAGCCCTGAGCCCCATCCAGGCAATCTTGGAGCCATCTTGATGCCTCGGGGGGGCGTCGGAAGCGAAATGGCGAGAACGCGCGCCATGCCGATTTGCTGTTGGGTTTTGTTCCCAACCATCCTGTGGTGTTGGGTCTTCGTTTTGAAGAGACAGCGCCCGCGTTCACCTCCTCCTCCCGCTGCCCCCTCCATCCTCCTCTTATCATCATCATCGTCATCATCGTCATCATCATCATCGTCATCATCGACGTCATCACCACCATCACCATCGTCATCATCATCATCACCCATTTCGGCACACCCCTCACACGCTTCGTGTCCCCAGAGGGAGCTCCACCGAAGGCCCCAGTAGCAGGGTTCGCATGGCGGCCTCGGGCCATGTCGGCACACCCCTCACGAGGATCGTGGCCCCATAGGGAGCTCCACCGAAGGCCCCAGTGGCAGGGTTCACATGGCGGCCTCGAGCCATTTCGGCACACCCCTCACGAGGATCGTGGCCCCATAGGGAGCTCCACCGAAGGCCCCAGTGGCAGGGCTCGCTCGGGCCATTTCGGCACACCCCTCACGAGGATCGTGGCCCCATAGGGAGCTCCACCGAAGGCCCCAGTGGCAGGGTTCGCATGGTGGCCTCGGGCCATTTCGGCACACCCCTCACGAGGATC